AAAAAAAAAAAAAAAAAAAAAAAAAAAACAAAAGATGAAAACAAAAGGAGAAAAATTGGCAAGTAACATATCAAGAAGTTCCCTTGCAAGCAAATTTTTTACTTTACAAGTTGGAAAGTATAATTAATTTACTAAACCACGGGTTGATGCCAAACAATTTTTCCACTGAGACAACCAGACACGAGCAAACAATGCCTTGGAGAAAATTTTGTACTGACTACGATGCCAGAGTGACTAACATTTGTCACTAATTCGTGCAACTGTACAGACTCGTTATAGGGAGGAACGCAATTAGATAATTCTGAACAGTCCTTAGAAAATGCTAATAATCGTATACCATAACCGAACGGTGAACATATTAATCGGCCATCGGCAGAGAAACATAATTCTTTGATATAACCGGAACCTACGTTAGGTTCTTCTATGTAATGCGTTAATCTAGGTGTATTTTGATGAATCATACGATTTCTCGGAATGGCGTACATCGTTTGTTGGCCTTGTCTATTCCGATTTTGAACTCTAATTCTATCGCCAATTATAACTACCGTATTGTTACTCGATCTAGAAAGCCAATCCCTCTCCCTTCTAAGCCTAGCTTCCCTAATCGCTACGTGTGCTTCCCACACATCTGTTGTACTTACATGTAATTCTATATTACCAGTAGAAAAATTGTCAATCATATTGCGTGGTCTTAAATAATTAAGATGAGAATTTGGTCTCGGTGGCCTGTAATCCTGTCCTGAATCCCTTTCTTGATCACCGGATCCCTCCTCCAATATGCTCTCATCAGCCGCGTAAAGATCAGCTGCATATATGTATCTATCTGCTTGTCTATCGTCTCTATCTGCGCTCACTCGAGAATCGGACGAGCTTGAACTAGTAGAACTAACTTCGATCGCACCGAAATTCGTTCTTGTCGCATTTCTATCTAAGCGCGAATTTCTCGATTGCGATCGTGATGCCCTACGTGACGCCACTTGCCAGTTTCTCGAGGTTCTAATTGACTGCGCGTTATCCGATAATCCGGCAGCGTTCGATCTTGTTGAATCTGAGGTTGTATGAATTACTCTAACGCGATTATTTGGACTTTCTATTAAAAAAGAAGAAGTTATACCCGAACGAGAAGGCTGAGGTTGTTGAAAATCCTCGAACTCCTCTACGGGTACTTCGTTAAACTGAGGAGTTGTTTCCTCTCCTTCTTTCGCCTGCTCCGCTATACTGGATACATCACGCTCTTGTATATCATGAATACAGGTCCACTAAAACAAAGAATATAATAAAAAATAACATAAAAATGAGGTAAATCATACATAATTGTATGTTGACTTACCTCAGATTTTTCCCCATTACTAACGTTCCTAGATAAAGCACACCATCCCTGTGGATGTACTTGCAAACTCGATATTATTTCGGCATCATCGCCAACAGGGAAATCGGTTAAAAACTCTACTCGATTATGAGTACGAGAATGAGAAAATAGATGGGTGAAACTTGCCACGTTTGGTATCGTAGTTTGAGACGATTGCATTAACCGATACATATTTGGCTGGAATAAAAATCAATTGTTATTTTATAAAGAATAAATACAAGATACAATATGACGAATGTATTAAAAATAAAACGTACTCTAAATCCTGCCAAGTCTTGACTTAAAGAGCTTAACTTAAGATTATGTATAATGATGAGGTATCCAGAAGTAGTACTTATTAACATTTTACTGGCATCTGGACTAAGTCTAGTGCGCATCAATCCATTTGTATGGAACACACGTGTATAAAGAATACTATTCTCTGTAAAACTATTTATGTCCCAAGTGTATATGCTACCATCAAAACCACTGGTCAATAATAAACTATCTTTGGGACTATATTCTATATTTTTCACCCAATTTGAATGACCTTGAAGTGTCCTTATTCTTTGCTTTAAATTTCTAGCATCCCAAAGAGCTACTGTACTATCATCTGAACATGTTGCAAACATACGTTGATCCAAGAATCTATTGTACAAAAAAAAAATTATTATTATCAGGTATGTATTATCTTGTTATCAGTATCAATTTAAAAAAATAAATATATGTACCTAACACAATTAACACAATCATGATGAGCATTATCAATCGTGTGGATTAAATTCCTTCTCAAGGGATCAAACATTAAAATACTTTTTTTTTCACATGCTGCCAATAGGAGAGAGCTGTAAGATAAGAAAAAATATAACGTCATTATTATTAAAAATATGTGATGATTCTATTGAAATCAAAATGTCTTTAATATACGTATATCTACCCATCTGGAGAATATTCAAGATTAAAAACTCCACCGTGCGCAGCAGCTGCAGATAATGCATGATCCCAAGAAGTTACTGGTTTCATAGACGAATAAAGGGTTTTATGAAAACAGTCGGCATGTCCCAATGGGAACTTTATACCCAATTCGCGTTGCCTTAACCAGAGGCTATTTGCTTGTCTGGTTCTTATTTTAGGCATTTCAGCCAGGTTTATATTTCACCAACATTCAACTAAATATATTTAGCGACTCAAGAAAAAACGTAATAAACAAAACTTAGAAGTATTTAATTAAAAGTATTTAATTCGAATTCCAACTTCACAAATTCAGTTTATATCTCTTTTTTATATTATACAGTGTAAATGATCAACGTTGGTATCCTCTCGAAATTGATCGATGAAAATTATTGATTCTCTCTCTGATAAAAGACACAGCATTAATGTCGTTTTCTCGAAATTTTTACGAGATCGTATAATACTGAAGTAATGATAAGGTTAAGTGCGAGATGCCACTAGCGGGCAGTATTACACGTGACTCTTGACAGACGCCTTCACGTTTCTTTCAATTGACGATCTTTAACAAAGCCGAGAATGGAATAAGTAACTGATCAAAGTGTCACACTTATGTGCAATGTCAAACTTTAATAGAATTTAAAGAAATTTTTAAACACCTGACACAACATGGATCAACGCCATCTTTACTTTGACATACAACGTCGTACATTGAGAATCGACAAAAACTCGAGCGCGAGTCTCGAACAAGATTCTCATCGTGTGTACGCTTTTAGGTAAACTAAACGAATAAATACTTTGTTTCATCGAAAATCTACCATTCCTTTTCTCTTCTATTTCCACGTTATCATAAGAATTTGTACAAGTATGAGTAACTGAAGTTGTTGTTCACTATTAGAAAACCAGTCTTACAACTATAAATATGGCATGGAATATCTTAATTAACATGTAAGTGATACTAATTTACTATATTGAATGTACATAGAAATGTACATCTTGTTTCTGTACATATTTGATCGATAATAATATATACAATTTTTTTATGAGCTTAAACTAATGTACTTACATTAACACAAGAATAACTACGTAGTGAATAAAAAAAAGATCATTAAAAGATATAAAAAAATATCATACATAATATACATATATAATATACATATTGTTTTGTTTTTTATTTTTTTTATTTTTTATTTTTATTTTTTTATATATAATCTCAACATAGAATATACATATTTTAATAGATAATTTTCATTCCTCGTTATATGAAATCAATGTCTTGTTAAATTCGAGACTACTATTATTTAAGTGCTTCTCGGTCCATTCATCAAATCTTTGAGATAATTTTTCAGACATGTAATTTTTCCAATCACCGACTTTGCCCTTTCTTATAAATTTCTCATTTTCGGGCAAATCTTTCAATGGTAAAATCTGTTCCAAATTTGTGGCGGGATTAGCAGCCATCTTTGAAAATTTTAAATGCTCGCTAAGATCAGCAATTTGTTCGTCTGTCACAGTTTTTCCCATAAATTTTGCTGTCCTTCTAATCATTTCTTTTTGATTCTGAAAAGGAAAATCATTATTTAAAATGTATTCTTTTTTTATATTATAAATATATTCTTATTTACCTTTTTCATTTCCTCATAAGTTAAAAATAATACATTTTCTTGGTCTTTTATTTCCCAAAATTGTAAAACGTGATTCCAAAATGGACTTATCGGTGCTTAAATTAAAAATAATTTTTTTAATAAGTTTTTTAATATATAAATATTTTGATCAATATGTAGACACTATGTTGTATGGTCACATACCACTGTCTTCTAAAAATAACTCAGCAAAATCCTCGAAGCTTCCCGTCATGCTATGAAATTTTTTACAATAATGATAAAAGCTAACACATGTATCTTTTGGATTCCTGGTAACATAAATAATCTGAAACATTCGTAATATCGATGTTACAATTATATTAGTTTTTTCATAGTATGCTTTTATTCTTTCACAATCCTAACAGAATAAAAAGTTTAATTAAATACTTTTGGTTTTTTTGTATGAATTTGTTGCGGCAAAAATTCAAAAGGGAGATGAGACTTTATATATCTAGGTCGTGACATTTTCATAACATTTTCAACAGAATCACCCATTTTCACAAATAAATCTACCCAGTTCCCTGTGACCATCAACGCCGATGCTCTAAATCGATAAAAATTATTTATGTAAAAAATTGTATTGCGTGATTTATATTATTTTTTATACTAAAACTTACTCGAGCAACGGATTACGTATAATTGTTAAAATTTCGGCATTTTTATAATCAAAGTTTTTTCCGATACACCATACCATTTCTTGCGCCCAATGACTGCCTATTCATAAAGAAAAATATTTTAATTTAAAAATAAATAAGATAAACTTTAATCAATTTTTTACCAGTTCGTGGATATGAGACCATCCATACATCATCCTCATAAACTTCCATATCTCTGATTTTCATTCCATAGAAAACGAATTGAGGCGGTAATAAACAATGCGTTGCATTCTTTTCTACTTTTAAAAAACTAGGTCTCACCCCAAACATCTTATCCAATTTTTCTCCTACATCACTCTCGATAGTGCTAAAAGTAAAGGGTTTTTTATCCACTGCAAATAATATATTTTATTTATAATAACAGAATCATAAAATCATTTATTAAAATTTATGTAAACAACTTACTTGTAAAAATATTTCGTTAAAAGAATTCATACACTGTCACGAAATTGCACGTACACTGCTACGAGATACCAATGCTCCTACGGTTTAAAACGAAATGAGAATGTTCATGAGTTTGTTGGAATCTTTTCAAGTCCAGTTTTTTCTTTTTTTTCACTTACAACAACTTTCGAATCTCTGATATTTCCTCCTTCCTCCTTGTAATTGATGTAATATTTATGTTGAATAGTAAATATTTATTGTAAAGAAATCAATAAAAAATAAATTATTTTATCTTTGAATATTAATTTGAGAAAAAATATTAAATTTTATTTGCGTCTATCGTTTTATTTAGAATATCTTTATATTTTAAAAAAGAAAATTAATGAATTTCATTTAAGTTATCTTTGGATCTTTAAAAAATATACATTATTAATAAAAGTAGCAATAATGATATAAAATTTGGTGATGTAAAAAATAATTTCAACTTTCTCGAAGATTTCACTTTGAGAGAAAGTTAACATGCTCTAACTATATGTGTCACGATATAGATCTCGAAAAATATAAATATATAAATATATAGTCCTCAATTTGAATATTTTATAGAAGTTGTTCTATGTAATTTAAGAAGATTGTTTGATTTCATTTGACTTTAATCTTTCAACATTATGAAATTAAGGTCAAAGTCAAGATCAATTTAACGACATGTAGTCTTCATATAGTCACATGATCTTCATATGATCTTGAGTATGAAAAATTTAGAATGTTTGAGAATTTTATAAAATGTTTTCAAGGATGCAAGAAATACTTTATTAGATATTAAAATAATAATACATAAAATGTAAATATAATTTATAAATGTTATTTATTAATAAATAATTACAATATAATTGCACATATTTAAATACATTGTTTATTCATTTTTAACGTAAAAATTAACGTTCCATCTAACATGTCATAATAAAATTCATTCTTCTTCTATAAAATCAGTCATTTTATTAAAAAGAATATATTATCCTGAATAACTTATAACTATTTTTATAAAAAGTGAAAAAACACAGCCGTTATTCCTATAATTAGCGATAATTGTCGAACAACAGCGTTACTTGATGAATAACTATCCACTATATGTATTTTCCAGCCCATGTTCGCATGGGTAAATGAATTATAATAAACAATGTCTGGCCACGTGGAATTCGGTGTAATTTCTAAATTTCCACCTTCTCCTGCAAAAAATTATATCAATTGAAGAAAAAAAAATTTTTTTTCAAAGAAAACAAGAAGAAAAAACTGTATACACCATTTTACCTGGCTCACATGTATTTATTAATGTTCTATTGAATTGTTTGAATGTTACAAAATCATCATCTCGTCTTCTATCTCGTCCATTGTGTTTGCTCAAGCAAAGTGGGCCAACTAGAAACAATAAATTAATTTTGTAATTGTTTCTTTTTCTCTTATATATCTAATAAATTCCATATATTTCATAAACCTGCGGTTGGTCTCGGCTGTCCTCTTCTTGTAAATTCAACTCCAGCCAAAACTCTAATATTACTTTGTGCCGCATCGCTAAGCTTATCATATCCACCGTGTAATTCATCAGTTATAATCAACGGGTGATATAAATTCGAGCTGTGAGGATTATTACCGCCGAAAACACGAAAATTATAAGTCAATCCACGACGTAGATATAATTCAGGTACCAATCGACCTTCGATGTACCATGCCAAACCTGTGGATGGTTGTCCTAAGAAACAGCTGAATTATTATGTTACTACTTAATATTAAATATTAATAAATACCAATATCGTATATTTATATCTTTTTATAAAACCTGTAATTCCTTGATAACCCTTTTTGCCTCCGGATGGACCGATCGTTGCTTTGAACGTTCGAATACTTCTGCCATATATTTTTACTTTTTCCCAAGGTACTCTGAAGAGAATAAGAAATTATTCGATCATATTAAAATAATTAATATAATTAAAAATCACAAATATTATACTTACACTAATTGCTCATTATTTTCCGTAAAATCCATGCACGCATCCTCAGGTTCTTTACGAGCCAATTCTAATTTCAAATCATTTTTCAGATATAAATCGTGGAATGTCGGCTCTCTATTTTCATTCAATCTTCCTAAGGCCCATACCACGTAAACAGATCGATCAGTTGGATATTCTTTGTCTCCTGGATCAGCTATAACATAATGCATCCCATATAATTCAATCTCTTCCTTTTTATTTTAAATGGAAACTTACATGAGTTAAGGGTACGTCTGTAATTTATAACAGTAATTCCATTTTCTTTAAATGCAGTGTGCAACTGATTGTTATCCAAACCACCAAATAATTCGTCTCTACAAACTCCCTTGTATTGACCAAGAACTTTTCCACACTGTTTTCAAGATAGAAAATGAATTATTTTTTAACAACGAACCCATAAATTACGCAAACATAATTACGTTCTTTGCATTTACATACTGGTGCTTTGGCAGTGATGTTGTAATCTACCACGTAGCCTCTAATACTATCTAAATAAGCAACTGCAACATCCGCACCTTCCATTTGGCTAGATGTTTCAGATCCAGATAGACCGAACGCCATATATTCATTCTCACCTGAGAATCGTTATATTATTAATACGAGAAGATCGAACAATTATCTAGTCACGTTTACCTATGTCTCCTGCTAATTGGATAGTGATCTGTGGACCAAATATTTCCCAGCTAACTTGAAATCGTTTGTGAAGTTGAATACAATTTGGCAAACTGTTTGTGTGCTTGATCACCTATACTTTGAGAGATGGATTATTGATATTTTTATTTCTATCGATTGGATAATACAAAATTGAAAGAATATATTACTTTTACTAACGAAGGAGGCACGTTTAATTCCTTTGGAATTATTACAGAGCCAAAATTTGACGCAGTTTCCACGTCGAAAATGCTTAACCAATTGATATTGAAAATTGTCATATCTCCAGGTAATTGAATGATCACATCTTCACCCCTATAAGCGTGTAGTGAATCTAAACTAAAAAAAAGAATAAATTAAGATCGGAATATCAATTCAATGGAAAGTTTTGGCTATACTTACTAGCCATATTCATCGGGAACTTTTGTTCCTCTTGTAGAAGGTTGTGGGCCATCTCCTACCCAGAAATACGTATCTTTTCCTTCTCCATTGTATTTAAAGTTTGGTATTTTGATAGTTTTCGAATCTATAATTTCAATTGGCTCTGAAGATACTTCATGAGAGTATTTTTTTAATTGAGAAATCGTCGCTGGTGCTGGTGCACGAAATTCATCGGGAAAAATCACATCGCCGAATACATTCTATATAAAATATTTTCACAAGTCAATTATATATCAAAATGATATCAATATTAATATTTAAAAATATCAAATGATACCTGACTTCCTAAATCGTATATCGCAAACCATTTTATATCTGCTATCGTTTTACCATCTGGCAAATTAAGTGTGAGATTTTTATTGAAATATTTATCGAGGACATTTGTTCTAAAATAAAAATACGTCTTTATAAAAATCTCGTTGTATTTTTACATTAATCTTTTTTAAATTAAATCATTACTGACTTGCCCCATTCATCAGGCACGATAAAACCGTGTGGACCAGCTCGCGTGGATGCACCAGCGAAGAAAAATGTATCAGCTCCGTTACCATCGTATTTAAAATTAATCAGCAATAGCGTATTCTCGTCGACGGCATAAACTTCACCGGAAACTTCATGATGATACGTATTTAGTTTTCCAATGCATTTGCCTTTATATTCGTCACCGTCTAATCGATCGTATTCTGTTGATTTCATTTCATCGTGAGTCACTTAAAAATTCTTTGTTTGAAATCACAATTGCAAGAGGAAATGAGAGAAATGGAATCTCAGAATAATAATTATATTTTTATCTTTGTTTTCATATTTTAACTTATAGCATATTCATTTAAATGAGTTAATGATTTATTAACGCATCAAATATTTGTCAATTAAACTTATCAAATATCAACTTATCAAATATTCGATGAAAAAATAAAAGCTATATTTGGAAACATCGATACTTGATCAAGAAATGTCAATTGTTTATTTACATTTATTGTTTAGAATACTTTTAATCGATTATTTTTAATATTTTTTACACAATTGTAATAATTTAAAAGACATACCGGAACAGCCATAGACAGAACATATCACGCATGTCAAAATTATCACAAAGACATGTGCCTTTGTGTCTTTCATCCATCTCCTTGTAACATCTGCCATCACTTCATCTTCCTTGAATTGTCATATATGTCTTGCACCTTATTCTTGCACGATTTTATTATTGTTAAAATTTATGAAATAAAAAATGGTTTGATCTCAAGTTAGATGACAAAGCCTCGAGAAAAGAGAGAAAGGCACGCAGTCACTGTAATGGACGCTGTTCCAAGCAGCCGTCTTTTAGAAAGTAGACTTCTATACAGAGTATACTATGGTCAGTATACTGTACTCCAGCTACCTTGGCACGTGGTCTCGAAGAGAAAGTATGCATGTTTTGGAGATACCTTGAATATATATACCTACGAATGGTATATTAGATTCTGCTGGATTGTCAAAAGAGGTGTCACTGAACTTTCATATGTGAATACTCATTGATATTGAATGCACGTCAAAGAATGACTGAAGATGAAAGAAAGGAAGGAAGTCGATATAAATAATTGTATAAACGTACAATTGATTATTGAATAAATAAATATAAAATATACACTGTATATTTAAATGAAACACAGGTGTATGATGTTTGATCGATTTCGAGAGTTGGCCTAAAAGTATAACATAAGTACTCACAAACTGAAATATTGTAATGTCAAACACGAAATTTAATTATGAAAAAAATGGTAAGATAATCTCGAATATTAAAATATTTCTTAACTACTTACGTTTACGTATTAACAATTTACGTTTCACAGATTCGATCGAGGAACAATTTATGTGGCTTCTTAGATTTGCTACTGTCAAAAAGATTAAAGATTTTCTAACTAAAATGTAAGCAGGTATACGAACATATACACCTTCGATTTAATTATAAATGTAATTATAATTGTAGACCAACGATAGATCTACATTATCCCACACCAAATTTGAGAACTCCTATAACGTCAGCCATTGATCGCGGTGATCCGCAAATTTTGTCGTTTTTATTAGAGAAAAACTCGACAAATTTAGATGGTACGGTTACTCAACCTTGGGGCAGAACTGCTCTTATGTACGCCTCTTTCGTTTCGAGAAATCCAGAAATCTTGCAGATTTTATTGAAGAAAGGTGCAGATCCTCAAAAAATGGATATGTAAGGCGCAATTGTTATAATTTAAATGTGATTTTATTCAATCAACATATACTTATAGTAGAGGCTGGGCTTGTCTTCAGTATGCAATCGTGGGAGAACGACCGAAGAACGTCACATTTCTTTTAGATGCTGGCGTTTGTATAAATCAGAGAGATGTACAGGGACGAACACCGCTTATGATCTCAGGTAAGAAAATGAAAAGGAATAAAAATGAAAAAATGCAAAATCGGATGGAGTATTTATTAAGGATATTTTTTTTTTTTTTGTCAAGTGTACCGTTCCAATTTAGATATTCTTTCGATTTTGTTGAATCGTGGAGCTGACGTCAATACGCAAGATGACATGGGATTTACCGCCCTTCAAATAGCAATTTTATGCAGAAAAAGAGATGCAGCGATTATGTTGATCGAAAGAGGAAGCGATATGAGCGTTGTTACATCTTTGACCAAAGCTTCAATTGGTGAACTTTGTAGAACCTGTATGCCAAAAATTCTTCGATGTCTCGAACCAGAAACAAGAACATTACAGTAATTTCTATTGTCTTATTAGATATTAAAATCGATAAAATCTTTTTTTTTTTTTATTTAATTTTATTACATCATGATAATTATATCAAGTTTCCAAGGATGTCGGTGGAAATTTATTGTACAATATCGTTCAAAAGAAAAGATTTTGCGTGGAAAATTTTTCTTTCGTCAATTTATCGAATTTCTCGATCACGCTATCGGGCATTTCTTCTTTCCACTGATCAACTTTACCATTTCGAATAAATTCACCATCGACATTGATCAATTTCATCTGTTTATTCAATATTATATGTTCCTCATAATTCACTGCAGGATTTGATTTCATACTGTTGAAACTCAAATGTTGCGCCAACGCTCCTACTTGATCATTAGTTAAAATTTTATCAAGAAACGCAGCCATTTTTTTTATCACCGTAGGCAGATCCTACATTTGACAAAAGAAACTTTCATCATATCTTTTATGTATGAATATTTAAGATCACTTACAGATTTGAGAATATTTAATATTACTTACAGATTTCATCTCTTCGTATTTCAAAAATAAAATATTTGGATCGATTCTCCTCTTCCAGAAATCAAGTATGTGATCCCAATATGGAGCAAAGCTCACTAAGAAGATAATAATAAGAAAATAATAATAAAATTAATATTAATAATTTCAACAACACACGTGTACATACGTTTATTTCCTAAAAAAAGGCGACAGAAATCGTGAAAATCACCACGATACCCCTCCATTAATCTAGTGTGGTAATAAAAAGAAACACAAGTATCTTTTGGATTCCTGCTAATATAAATAATTTTCGCCTTTTTCTCGCCCGTTCGAAGTTGACGTGGAAGTAAGGGAAAAGGAAAATGAGTTTTGATAAATCTTGGAGAAGGTAAATTTTTTATATACGCCACACTATCCAAGATTAACGGAGAGGGCTCAATTTCCGGATGACGTCGTATAATAGTGGTGTAATCGAAAAGTATGGAGTACCTGATCAAATAAATAATTCTTACTCCGATATTCTTCCTTTCTAAAATATTAAACTTTATTAACTTACTCTAAAAAAGGAAATCTTTCGGACAAGCGAACTTTTGCTCTTTCAAAATCCAGGTCATTTGCTATACACCAAATCATTTCTTGTGTCCATGTTGTTCCTGATTATGTAACATTTATAAAATGATTACAATTATGTAAAATAAAAAGTATATAACATTTGATATTTTTTTTCTCTTAATAAAATTGATAAAAAGGTGATACCAGTTTTAGGAAAAGAACAAATCCAAACATCATCATCTCTTATTTCGAAATTTTCAATTATTTGTGCGAAATCCTCATATTTTTTTGGCAAACAAACACCTTGTACGGTGGTATATTCTTTGCGAAATTCAGTAGTAAATTTGTCTTTCAAAATTTGGTCCAAATCATTTCCAATTTGGAGAGCCATCATTTAAATTTATGCATATATCAAAAGTCTAATAACTTATATATCTTATTTGCCAGTCTCTAAAGATAAAGAGAAAATTGACTATCTTGAAATCCGTGAATGTCCTTATATAGAACAACTGGTAATTAAGAAAAACGAACTAATATCGTTGAATGGTTTTTGTTTCAATGTTATTTTACTGAAACAAGGTTACTACCGGATCTTATACAACTTTTTCTTTCAACCGATTATTCTTCTCGAACATTCATTTGTTCTTTGAAATGGAAATCATTTTTCAAATAAACTTGTTTAATGCCTTGACATACATTGATATTTAGAAAATTTATATATTATTTTAAACTCTAAGATCTTTGAAACGAAAAAAGACGACAGGATCATCTTTTCGTATATTTTCCAATTATTATTTAATTTAATAAAATATTATTATGATCAATGGTAAATTTTCGATTGAGTATATATAAGAAATATATTATATAATTTTAATTATTAGATATGCGATGAAAAGAATACCTAATTTGATTGCTCAAAAATTAATACAAAAAATTAATATCTTAATATAATGTTTAATATCTTCATATTTCAATTAATTAGATAAATTATATAAATATAAACTGATATGAATGGAAGAAAATAAATCAATTTTCTTCTTCTATATTTCATACTTTTAGAATTTAGTAACCAAGGATATTAAATGAATGATAAAAAAATAGAATGTTAAAAGAGAAATCGTGTTGCAGATGTGAATAAAAAAAAGACAATTATTAAGAAGGAAAGAAAAATGGAACGTTAAAAGAGAAATCAGTCGAGTTGCATATATTTGGATAAAAAGTAAACAATTTTTTGAAGTCGAGTATGCATATCGCATATATGCATAAAGATATATAAGAATAAAATAACGAAGAAACTATTGTTTCAAGGATTCACTTTATCTTTATTAACCAAATGAGTATAATCGTCGTACAAAATGGTAAAATATTAAAGGTAAAAATCCAAGAGATTATATTATCTAAGTCTTATGTATAGCAAAGAATTGTGTACTGTAATTCAGGTACTAATAACTACTTTCATCATCTTAAAGCATTTCAATTTTCCACGAACAAGCGATGTATTTCCAAATGAACGCTTTTTCGACGCAGCAGTTTTCGAAACATTTTACTATTAAAATATAAAATCTCAATGTTGTGAAGTTCCCTATTGTTTCACGTGATAATGAAAATTATTATTGCATTATCATGTCAGATTTAACATATGTGCACCGGTTGTTTACTTTTAGTATGAAAATATCTTGGCAAGACAAAGATCCTTAAATTCAATATTAAATATCATAAATTCTAGGCACAAATATGTAGAACAACGCATTAAATATCTTAATCATGATGCGTGTCAAAGATTCTTGGATCTAAATTACTTGGATCTAATTACGTTATCATTCTGTGAACGTGTTACACGCAAACTTTCTTATACATTCATGCACATCTTAAAATCATTAATTTTAAAAACACGTCTTTGATTAAAAAGTAACACAATGTTAGTACGTATTATGCAGTATTGAAAGTAGAGAAAAGTAATACTCAAGAAGAAGATTCTGAAAACAAAAATCTTTAATAATCCTTTCAGGTTGAAAGGTAAAATAATTTGTACGTTCTTCTATTGTCTGTACAATTGTACAATGTGTACAATCTGTACAATCAGACTGCTAATTGATATTTAAACTATGCACACGCAAACATTTCTTTAACATTACAAGTTGGATATAACGCTAACACTTTGAGACAGATCTACTTGGCCCCTCAATACCTTCTGCTGTAATTTCTTACAAAAAATTTTGGCCATAAGTTTATTACGTCGCGCCTCTTCTTGCTTTTCCCGTTGCAGTCGTTTATACCGCACTTCATTCAAACGAAGATACCGTTTCCGCAATCTTTCCCTCATCTGTTCGTTGCTCATTTTCTTCTGTGGAACTGTATATAAAACGATTAGAAATACGAAAGAATATAAGAAGAATATATATATAATAAAAATGTTGATAAAGTAAATAATTTTATTAAAACTGAAATAAAATCTTTACCTGGTTTAGAAGAAGTTTTCGTCGATTTTATAACATTCGACGTACTAGCCATAGCCAACAACTGTATTCGTTTTTCTTTCCGCAATTGACGCAAATGAGATATTTCCGACATGTACTGTCGACGCGTTTCCGCATTATTTACAAAATCTGCTTTATTCTTAGACAAATAATCCTAAAAAAATCAAAATATATTAATTAATATCAATAAGTTAACATATTTATTCCAAATACTTACTTGTAAAGTATTTTTTTGCGGAGAATTTTTCTTTGAACTAACTTTTTTAATCATGTTGCAAACACAGCCATCTATTTTATTTTCGTAAATACTACGATTTGATAATGGCACTTTTGGCAACGCACTCAAATTATCATTCTTCTGACCATTCTCTTTAGCGAACGACAATTCATACGCGATCGGTTTCGGATACGTTTGATAACAATTACATTTCTTGACATAAGCTGCACCGCAACGACAACAGTACTTACAATTTCTATCGGAATCACTCGTTTGATTCGCTTCGTCTACATAATTTGGTTTGCCACTGGTGCAGGCTTTGCCATGCGATATTTCCTCGCTAGTTTTTCCCCTATTATTACAAAAACAATCTTTCTCGCATTTGCATTTTACATTGCTTTGTACTTTGTACTGAGCCGTTTCGTTGATTTGTCCATTATTCACCCAATAAGGCCACAATTGAACCGAACAATCTTCCACTTCTCCATGGAAGTGAACTCCGTTGTGTTGAGCTCTCCCATTTGAATGGCAACTACACAACATTTTTGAGTTTTGAACTTCCGGCTCGCGATTATTTTCGCAGAAACAATCGTTTGAACAACCGCACAACTTGATACAATCATTTTGATTCAAGCTCGATGAGTATCCATTATTAATCTGATAATCTTTTGAACTATATTTCATTGGTGCCCGACCTTTCTTCGATTGTTCGTTATCATATTCCGTACAGTTACATTCTTTCGAGTTTCCATCCTCTTTGTCGCGCGCATGGAACATCTTCTTCTGATATTCCTCGCATTTAGAAACGTTGTTGCATTCCATTGTAATTACTGACGAGCTACATTGGCATCCTTTCGACAATATTTTTTTACTCTCACATTTACAATCGCAAGTTTTCAACTTTAAAATGTTTATTTGATTCTTGGTTTCCTTTTGCTTCGATGAACTGGCCTGAACGCAATGATGAGGTATTTCCATCGAGGTGATACTGTTACCGTTCGTCTGATCGGAAAACGTCTGCGAGCTAACTGGACTCTCCTCCTGAAAGTTCTCGATATTTGTGTGCACCTTCTGAACGATCAATCGTTCCTTTTGTTCCTGTGAGCATTGCATGCAAGTAACTAGATTCTGAATGGCATGATGCTTCACGCATTGGCTTATTTGCTCGGTGCATTTGTGATTATTTTGAATCTGCATCGAACTGTGCGCGGGACATTTGACATAATGTACAATTTCCGACTGTATCAAAGCAGGAATTGTAGACGTTTCTTGAGGTATGGTTTGTACACCGATACTGACTAATTTAATCGAGAAATTGTGCAAGTTTGAGACGGACACGATTTCACCACCAGTCTTTGACAAAGCCCCAGTAATATTTGTTGCCGTTTGCGCACAACTGTTTCGCTTTTTAATATGTTGAATAATACTGGTAGATGTGCTGGAATGGTGACACGCTAAATTACAATGAGAAGACCATGGATCTTCTAACGAATTAACTTGTGTATCCGAACAATTGCAATAATCGTTTTTGGACAACTCGTGCGACGATGTTTCCATCGGTTTTCTTTTGAAATTTCCCGATCTCGATTTTTTCGGAGACGTTCGCAATCTATCTGGTCTTCGCGACTCTTCCAATAATTTCTTTAGATTGCACAAGTGGCTGATCTCGTTCGTGATCCAGATCAATTGATTCCTTTTCTCCATTTCAGCATAACTAACTAGCTTCGAATCTGCGGAATCGGAATTGCTATGCTTCTTCATCTCGAATTGCCTTTCGGAAAACGTAGTGAGTAGCCTCCAGTCATCCTGTTCCCCTGTATTGCTCGAACGAATAACATTTCTCCTGTTGTTAACAACCGCGTCCAATAACATTCGATTATGATCAATTGTATTATTCGTCGTAGCTGTTGTCATTGTCGTCGTTCTAGTTGTCGTCATCTTCGAATCTCTTTGCATTTTACACTCTTTCATGCAAAATATGTCCTGCATTTTGTTCCCTTTACGACTTCTTTGCGGGAAGAAGCATTCGGAACTTTCGCTTTTGTCGGTCATAGTATTGCTGCTTCGATGGCAATCATCCGATCTAAGACCCATCCTTGCTTTTCGTCCATCTGTTTCCGTTCTGTCTGTATTTTTATCTATTTTATCACTACTACTTTCCGATGTAACGTTCTTTGCCATACCTTTTCCGCTCCTCGTAGATTTCCCCTGAGCCAACTCCTTCTGCAAATTCCAGTCGACCGAAGAATCGCTGGTATTATGATTTTTCGTTATTGCCTGAAGTATCTCCCTACCGTAAACTTTGCTCCTGGCATCGTCTGGATTCCACGGAACGTTATCTTCTAAATTATGCTCAATTTTATCATCCGTATATTTGGCGGTGATTAATCTCTTAACTACGTGATGTATCAGTCTTTTCTTAATTTCCTTGTCGCATTTATTCGCATCGACCAGACTCTTCAAAATATTCACGCTTCGTTCTAGATCCTTTACCAAGCTATCCGAGTCACCCCATAATTTCTCGTTAATACTGGAGCTGGTATTAGGCAGGGAAGAATGAGATCTTCCCGTCTCTGAAGATGAAATATGGCTACCGCTTCCGTTAGGAACGTTCTCGTATACATGACCAGGAAAATACTCAAAGCTGTTCGCCCTACCTGTTATATTTTCCGTATCAGGCTGTGGTGTTTGCCTAGTCGATTCGTTCTGCGATTGTTCCGAATAATTTTGCTGCGGTTTTATCTCCTTCCTTTCTCCGTTCGTTTCAGCATTTTGCGTTTCATTGGTTTTCTGTTTCCTTGAATTTTGAACTTTGTACGTATCCTTTGGATTCTTCAACATTAATGTCGAACCCTTTTGCAAACTAGTTCCTCTCTTTGGTAACGGTGGCTTCTCTTCCTCGAGAGCCGAAACTTGGACGCCAACGGATTCTTGAGTGTAAGCGTATAAAGTCGTCTGTATAACTTTATCACAAGTGGAAGGTTTATTTACAATAGTAGCGATCGAGGATGAAGAATTAAAAATTAATGGCAACGCAGATTTGCCCTTATCTCTACCGTACAAATTCAACTCGCTTTGACTTCTTTTCAATGGTAATTTAGAGGGTGGTATGAATAACGTGTTCATCGATGTGCTTTTTTTCAAAGGTGAGGTTGGGGGACATATATTTTCTTTGTTCGTATTCTGTTTGTTCGATACTTTTCTTACCTCAGTCGCGAATTTTGCAAAAGGTATCTTAGATGCAAAAGTCGATTTTGGAGTGTCATAGTTGTACTCTTTTTTCGAATACTGCATTAAAATATTTTGGTGTTTGAGATCCTTAGAAAAAAATTTTTCGTTAGATTTTATTCCATTTCCCGATATTATACCGGGTAAATGATTCTTCACAATCGGTGTAATTTCAATTTCGCTTTCCGATCCTGAAGCATTTCCCAACAATGGAGTAGAATTAGCATCAGGAATCATAGAATTAGTCGAATTTGTTTGAACTCCTGCAAGTTTTCCAGAGATTCCTGATTCTGTGGTACCTTCAGGATCCAATCTTAAAGCAGCGGAACAACCTTTAGCTAAAGCCATTCGTTCTATTGTACTTAATTTTTTATCATTTTGTTTATTGTTGGGTATTGTATTAAAATAACCAACATCCGCTCCACTATCCCATTCGAGTGGCTTATGAGAAGCAATACTAGAAGTTGGAGAAGGTATTTTTCTTTCTATAGCTTCTGTTAATATCTCCTGATTTTCATTTTTTTCTTCTAAGATTGTTTCTGATGTATTATGTTTTAAATCAGGTGATGGAGATTTAAGATTTGACAACGGAGTTTGGACATATCTGGATGATGATTCTGTATTTGAAGATTGACCAATAAGAGGTGGTCTCGTCCATCTTCTTCTTTCTCTAGGCACATAAGATTTTAAATTATATTCCTCTCCTATACAATCCTGTCTATTAACCTCTAATTTCGGATTTACTTCATATATGCTATAATAACATTTAACCGCTTCTGGTGATGTACTAGTTGAAGGCAGTGAAAAATATTGATCCAAATTTGCATTTTGAGAATACTTGTGATAATATTCCATCACCTGAGAAGAAAGACTTTTGTTTGTTGTCCCTGATTTGAGTTTTGATTGTGATGTCACAACCTGCAGAGAATGCCATGGTGCTGAACTTGTAGTACAGGTTGGACGTTCAAGTTTATGTATTTCTCTTAAATGCCGAAGATCTTCTGAAGTTTCATATTCTCGCAGATGATCATCACAGTTCGATGCAGAGTCATACTCCATAATCACGAACTATATGTGCTTTGTCATCTTTTATTCTTTTAATACACTGTCATATTTTAACTATAAGCTTTTGTAAAGAACGTTGTTTATAAACATTAAAAAAATTAATCATGTTTTTTAATCAAATCAACATAACTCTTTGAAGTTTATGATGCTACACAGAGGTTAAGACGCTACTATAAACGAATCAATTGTGAGATCGATCTCTAGTTTTGTTGACGTAAAAAATTTTCTAGCACACAATTCAAGAACTATTGTATCAAAAAAGATTATTATAATATTGATCAAACTATATTTTATGTACTTCACGTTTCAATAATAACAAAGTTCTGCAATAAACACTTCGATTATTGTTTACATTTCCCTGAAAATTCAATCGTAAATTAGTGGTTATATTCTGTATTATGCTCCCACTAGGGGATATACTTTACTCGTATAACCAATGTATCATTCGTCCAGCCTACACCAATTACGATTCATGTTAAATGCGGATACGTAAGAAATTTAGAAACCGCGAGAAGAAATTTTAAATCTGCAACGTGCTCAGTATTATAACCTATAATACATTAAGTATTATAACCTATAATATTTAATTGTAACATAAATGCAACAATTAATAAAAGACAAAATTTCTATTAAAAACATATGGAAAAATGCAAAAGTGTAGAATTTGTGACGGTACAGATTTTTACAAAGAAGCTGGCTACTTTTTCTGTCAAACATGTCAAACGCAGAACGAGGTATTGCAATTTTTTTTTTTTTTCGAAGACAATTTATCAAATAATTCGATTATTTTTATAGGATATTAGAGAAGAGATTCTTGAATTACATATAGATAATTCAACTAGATTACGAAAGACAAAAATAAGACAATTAAAATCAAATAAATCAGGTTTGTTTTAATATATATTAATTATTTATTATTATTAAATTAAATTACTCTAATATTCAAATATTATTTAACATTTCTAAATATTTATGATTTTTCATTCAATTATTAGGTGAGGAACTTGGATGGACATCATGGGAACTATATAATTTTGTTTTAATTGGATTAACAAATGAATTAATAGAACTTGGAATTCCATCCGAAATAAAATTAACAATATTACAATTATGGGCAACATATTTAGGCAAGATTGAGGTAGCATTTATATCAACTAAGAAAAAATGTTTGCCAAAATTGGCTAGAAGATATAAAAGGAGGTATGTTAGAAATAAAATTAGAATTAAATTTATATATATTTATAAATAAATTAATGTACGATGTATTAGAGATGCTGAAATTATTTATGGCAAAGTACAATCCCAAAAGAAGCACAGAAAACGCAAAAGAACTGGGAGTAGTACAAATACTTCTATAATATCAAGTGGTCAAAGTGAGGGAAGTTCTATGAGAGAATTACAAAAAAATAAAGTAATTTTTATAATAATTATTAAAGTAAAATTAATTTTATTTTATACTTCTTTTAAACTATATTTATTTAGAGGCTTTTAGCAACAGCTGAATATGATAGATATCTTCAGTCTCAAAGTAGTTCTTTAGGTGATGGGGTTAGTTCATTTAGTCAAAGTATATACAGTTTTCAATCTAGTTCTGTCAATTCTTCAGATAATGATGGAAAGTAAGTCTAGCTCTTTTATATAATAAAATTTAATCTATTGAATATAATCTATTTATATTTTTTAATTTATGTAGAGTACAATTTAGTTCTCATGCCAAAGAAGAAGCAAGAAAAATTAAAAAATTATCTAAAAACATACCTAGGTCTGAAAGAATTAAATATAGGGCCAAGCATATAAGTAATCAATATAAAATGGGACCTCATATAATGACACCTATGCGACTATGGGCAATTATATATTTAGCTTTGAGAATTCATGATCAACCTATACAATTAGGAGATATGTTAAGGTGTGTAATAAATATATATTCTTTTATGATTTTTTTTAAACTTTAAAATTTTTTTAATTAAAATAGTTTTTCTTTGTAGATATGGAAAAGAAGGACATTTATCTTATTATAAATTGGATCATTTGTTGCCACCAGAAGTGAATTTAACAGCTAATGAAAGAAGCTTCTTAAGACAAAATGTTGAAATTACACATAAAGGAATGAGACGAATTATTGCAAGTATGGCAAAATTTCTTGGTGTATGGGATATAATTTGCCCAGATTTTTTATCTTTAATTAAGAGATATTGTCAAGAATTAGGATTACCAAGTATGAATGTTTTATTCAATTATAATATATATAATATATGTATAATTTTGATATTTATTTTTATATTTTTGATTTTTTTGCATTACCAATTTATTTACATTTTCTTAATATTAATTTAATGTTATATATTTATATATAATTTTATATTTATTATAATTATATATAATTTATTAATTATATATATTATATTATAATTATATATAATTTTTTAGGGGGCATCCAATTATATACAGAAAGATTAATAGCTTTATCACCACCTAAAATGATATTTAATATAAAAAAATCATATATTCCAAATTATGAAGGTCGTGCAATTGCGTTTATTGTAGTAGTATTGAAAACTTTACTTGGTTTAGATGGTATAACTGAATATTATATCAGTCGAATTGCAGAAAAAATCAATAGGTATGTTGAAAAAATGAATATCCATTATATATTTTCTTTTATGTTTTGAACCTCAAAATCTGAAGATGTATGGTATTATTAATATAAGAAATAAGTAGTTTATTTGAAGTAAAAATGGAATTCGGATTTTGTTATAATACAAAAATTAAGGACAAATGTATATGTGATAAAAATACTATTCCATGTATAATCGTACATGGTGGTGCGGGAAATTTTAGTGATTCTATAGCTATAGAAAAAATGACAGCGTGTAAAAAAGCTGCCATTAATGGTTATAAAAAATTAATAAGTGGTGAAAATTCTGTAAATGCTGTAGAAGCTGCATTATGGTGGTTAGAATGTGATGAATTTTTTAATTCTGGTTATGGATCTGTATTAAATGAATTAGGTATTTTATATAATGTATTCTGTATAATAATAAAGGTCAATTAAATCAATTTTTATCATATTATCATATTATATATAAATTTTCCTAATATAGGAAAAGTTGAAATGGATGCAAGTATAATGGATGGTTATAGATTCAAATGTGGATCAGTAGCAGCAGTTTCAGATATAGAACATCCTATAACACTTGCAAAATATGTTATGAATAATTTTCCAAATTCTATTTTTGTGGGCGAGGGAGCTAAAAATTTAGCTAAATATGCAAATTTAAGTTTCTTATCAGAGGGAAATATGGTATCACCTGCTGCACGTGCAGCTTTTTATTCAGAAGGAGAAGGAAAATTAGATGCTGATATTGAGAAAATTTTAATGGATATCGATATGTTAAACAGTAAATATTTTTAAAACAATGTTGGAAAAATTAATTTTTATGCATTACTTATTAAATATTTATAGATAATACCGGAACTGTTGGTTGTGTAGCATATGATGGATATAGTATAGCTGCTGGAACTACAACAGGTGGTTTAAATAAAAAATTGGTAGGAAGAGTAGGAGATTCTCCTTTATTGGGTTGTGGTACTTATGCTATTAGAAATATAGGTTGTTCCTTAACAGGACATGGAGAATCTATAACAAAATTAGGATTAGCTCGTGCAATCGTAGAAGACATTGAACATAATTTTTCACACATGGAAGCTCTTTATAAAAATTTTTCTTATATGTTAGAAAAATATGAAAAAGTCGGTGGTGGAATTGTACTTCAATCAAATGGTCATTGGGCAACATACTTTACTTCTGATAAAATGCCATATGCTGTAATTGACAATGATTTAATTACATATGGAGTAAAATTATATGAAGAAAGGAGAGAATTGTATAAAATCGAAAAAGATTGCAAATGCGAATGCGAATGTCCTGCTTTAATTGTATTTTTAATGCGATTATTTATTCTATATTATAGGTAAACTATATTAATCTTCATTTTATTAATATTAAAATTTTTTTATTTCAGCGTAGCTATTGAACGTGGTTTATTGAATGAAAAACTTTTTAATTTTCAAGAATGGCAAAGATATATTGAATGCAGAAAAACAATTTTATCTCGTGCACATTATCCAACTAAAATGAAATATTATCCCGACTTAGATGGAATTGACGATTTATATTTAAAATTCTTAGAATTTATAACTTCTAAATCGAATAAAAATGAAGTAAATATAAAAAATCCGAAACATTTTTTACCAGAAGAACTTATTAATGGCATGAAAAAACATATAATTAGCTTAAATATTAACGATTTATTACCAAAGACAATAGATATATTTCCACCATCTCTAACTCCGCTTTATTCATATTTACAATGTTTATTAGATAATCCGCTCAATGATATTCCTAATATATTACAAAATGATTTTTTTCTTACAAAAGTTGGATACATGACAAAATCTGAGTCGTAAGTAATTAATAATAATTAATTAGAAATATTCTGATATTAATCATATCACGTCAATTGAAATAAATTAATTATTTTTTTTTTTAGCTTAATAGAATTAGCAATGAAATGTGACATAGAATTAGAAATAATTGATTCAAATGTACATTTTGTTGAAAAAAATGTACCTCAATTTGAACAACCTAGAATGCCAAGTATAGAAGAACTGAAACAGCTTGTCGATGTACAAGATGACTTAAAAGACCAACATAAACTTGGAAGCGAAAATGTGAATGAATATTTACATGCTAAAATACCATGTACCATGAAATTCGATGCTGTTAAAAAACAGTATTATGACAATGTAATTAAGGATTTAGAAAACATACATATAGGGAATAATTTTAAATTTACCGAAATTCTCCCGAATGGAAAACTAGCAATTCCTACTGATAGTGATACTGAAGACGAAAAAGAAGTTTCTAATTATATTAATATAGATCCAGAAACTATGTTTTTAGAAAAAAAAATGTATGATAAATACAATTTACAATTATCACAAGCAGAAAAAGAGTCTATTTTTAAATCGAATACAATAAAAAAAGTACGATCTAAAATTCAACTTGAACGAAATACTAAAGGCCAATTTATCAGAGGAAATGCTTTATCCATAAATATTGAAAAAAATGACGATGATTTTCTTTCAGATACAGAGAATATAAATTTTCACAATAATATACAAACAAACAAAAATGAAATATATTCCAATGTTAAAAATAGCGAAGAGGAATTATTTTTACCTGAATATATTAGCATTAATGATATCAATATTGATAATATAGATTTAAAAAGTGATACTTTTAATATAGATGATTATTTGAATCTAAGTGACATTACATTTTTTAACGATATTGACAAGAAAGAAAGTATAGCAC